CTGAAAGGCCTATGAAGCGGTATATAAGTCTATTGCTATTGCTATTGCTATTGCTATTGCTATTGAAAGGCCTATATTAAAATTGAAACACGGTGTTTCAAATTTGGAATGCTTTGAGTTCCAAATATTTGAGGCATCATTGGAAACCACAAAGTCCTGAGATATGAAGAGCTGCAATTGGTGTAATAATTGATTTTAATTATTACATCTTTGTTTTCATATCATATATGGAATTTCAGAGGCTAGTATATCAGGAGTTTGGCAGCACTTTTTCCATCTAATGTATGTTATTAAAAGGCATATACTTTCACAAACTGCAATACCACACACTAACACAACTCTCTTCTACAAATACTAGTTCAAAAAAGTAACAAGAAATCACTAAAAAGTATAGTTATATACATCTTTTGGATTATATCCAAATATTGCTAATGTTGGTTTTTAAAAATATTATCTGCTGCTCTGTGCAAAGGGATGTTTGAAGAAGTCAATAACTGCAAACAGATATATTGTTGCAAGTTTCTATTATCAATTACCTAATCAATGCATTCCCAATTACTATACAGCTAAAAATTTAATTATTACAAGCGATTTCATATTTAACTTTATGCTGAAGTATTAGAAATTTAATCATATCAAAATAAATTTTAGAAGTTAAAATTCCCACTCAACACAGAAATATACTTTATAACAAAGATGATGCAATCTAAAATAGATAAATTTTCCTATTCCCATTTTTTGTATTTCTAACAGCCTGCTTGGAAAAAAAATTCCACAAATAGCTAGAGTTCAAAGCTGTTAACACCAAAGAATACTTCACAAATGTTTTGAAACCTGAATTGCAACCAACATACTTGGATTTTTATCTTGGTCCATGCCCTGATCATGTGCTTCCTGCCATTCCCAACAAGTTTCACAGTAAGCTCGGATTTGTTCTAGAAGATGGAGAACACGTATTTCTCGTCTGCCTCGTTTATCATCAGGCTGGGAATGAATGATATTATGTAGTGCTGCACTGGCTCTGGCACGAGCTTCTTTACTTCCACGAGAGTTGCCCAACAACACAGAGTCTTTATCATTGCCATGCAAAAGTTGAATGAGAAGAGGAAGACATCCAGACTGGCGCATAGCTATGCAGCTATCCTGGGAGCTAGACATGGCTAGCAATGTTCGTGACATATCATCTTTATCATGAGTGCCCAACATTGACAGCAGTGAATACACCATTTCAACCTGCAAAGCAAATAGTTTTTGTACAATTAATGTGGATTAGATATACTAAAATGAATATTCTAGGGTGACTCCACTTATATGTGGTATATGAGTAATTTACATATAAATATTGTTTATACACACAAAGAGGCAGAGATGGATGTAGCGTAAGGTAACATAAGGTAACATAACATAACATGTTTATGTGCCAAATTAAAACTTACTTAAAAAGCTAAAGGCAGAGGACAGTCCTTTTTGGGTAGTAATAACGTATCTGGGTAAACAAAGCACTCCAAAATAATTATGCATTAGCATTCAATTAAAACTATTAATTTGGCAATAATCAGATATTATGCCATTTAACAATATTAACAGTATCATGACAGGCTTATTAACTACGTTTCATATAATTGAAATAAGTATTAAAAAGTTGATTAGTTGTTAAAACTTAGTAGTTTTTACTTATTACAAATAAGACAGCCAGGCTCCAACGGTCCTTGGAGGAAGCAAACTATCTCGACCCCTTCCAGTCAGGCTTCAGACCCGGTTACAG